TAACATTATTAACATTGTTAATTTTTGCATAGGGGCCCGAAAATCCTAGTTACACCACTGAAGGCTGCCCATACAATTTAACAAAAAAAAAAAGTTTGGGCGTTATTACACTACAAATGGCCATATATTTCACCAAAGATGCCCCAAAAATTTATAATAATAATATGGGCATAATTACCATTTGGATGCCCTTGAAAGGGATCATAATGAAGAAGTACATTTTTAAAAAAAAGCTTAAGAGATGCCCCCAATGTTAAAAACGATGATTGGTGTAATTACTGTTGCATGTCCTTCGAGTGTAATACATGAATATAAGCATAATTACTTTCAAGATGCCCCTACAATATATAAAAACAAGATGGGCATTCTTACTGTATTTTTTTTAGCGAGATCGCAAAACATATGGAAAGTTACGATGACACCATGACACGACATATCGCAACAATTTTTAAATTACCAAAAAAAAAAAAAAAAAAAAAAGGCTAAAAATTTTTTTTTCCACCTCCGCTGGATGCCCCCCACTGGTGGATGCCCGGGGTCTGGGCCCCGTCCGCCCCCCCCCCTCTGCACGCCACTGGTGAGATATCGAAATATTTACATAATATCATTTGTCGTGAGATCATTTGTACTAATAAATTGTACATCTCTTACATTTAGTCTACACAAAGTAGCTTTTCGTAACCAGCTGTATTGTTAGTTTACACAAATATCGTACATGGAGGAGATGCAATTGTGAGAGTTTTTCTAATTTAGACTGCAATTCCGTCAATGCAGCTAATACTTGTTATTGTATTTTAATACTCTTTGTATTAGATTGTCAGTGTATGTTTCACGCGGAGGGTCCAGAAAAGGGTTGTTGCGAGGATAGTTTTTTTTAGTGAATTAATCATCGTGTAGATTACTGAGATAAAATACAGTTTTAAGGGGAGAGTATCAACTTAAATAAGGGAAGAAATATAATTTAGCAAAAAAAAACAAGTTATTAAAAAGTCTAGTGACAATTTAAGCGCAATTTTCTTATGTTATCTAAAAATAGCTCTGTCGTAGCGTAAAGCACACACGGGGACAAAGCCAGGTCACATGAATCCTCCTCCTTCGCCTGCGTCTCGCGCAGTTTGCTTACTAAGCCAGCCCGCGCAGTTAGCTGCTAAGCCAGCCAGGTCACATGATTTACCCTCGTCCTCCTTCGCCTTCCACTGCCGATTTAGCTATATAGTACTGTAATGTATTATGTATAATGTAATTTTTAAAAAAAAAATTGTGACCGAACGAAAGGATATTTTTAAAAACTTTCTTCGGCAATATTGTTCTAAATTATGGCAGGAATCGATTGGTAAATGTTTCAAGTCGCTAAGTGGTCTGGTTGCCGAGATATGGGCCAAAAACTGCTTTTTTTCGAGGTTTTTTGGCTTTTCCGGGAAATCCAGGAAGGAACTCCGGGAATTTGTTTGGCCCACGATCATCCTCGGAACTTGCTTAACATTTTTGCTTTGGAACTAGTCCTCGATATTGCTTCGTTGAGGAGGAGATACGACTTAAAGCTGCGGACATTCCCAGAAATGACGGGTTAATAAACGCAAATCTCCAGAATGGAAATTGCGCTAAAACCCTTTAAGGTATATACAAGTCAAGTTGTTAGAGTGGTAGTATGTAATACAGCATTTAATTTATAGCTTATAAGTAAAATTAAAACGCTTTTGAGAAGCTTCAAACCTATATTCTCTAAATTTGTAAACTTTAATATAAACAATTTTTACAAATCTGACTAAAACATTTAAAATTATTAGAAATTTAAAAATTTACTGAAATGGGTATCAGAACTAGCCATATGATAAGTTCACAAGGCGATGTCAACAAAATGTGAACACTCTATTTCACCTGCCCTATGGGAGTCATGATTAAAAGCAAAAATTTTAAAAATATAATTAGACAGGTCTCATTTTTTTCTATAAAAATGAAATTTCACCACTAGACCATTCCAGTTCTTCCATATATAGAAAATTGTTCACTTGCGTTCACCAATTTGTAGAAAATTATGTTTGGAATTATGAAAATTGCACAGCTCTGATACATTTTTTTTAGGTTAAAGTATATAATATTATTATTTTTTTTTTTGCATTATGAATAGGCCCATCAATTAAATACTGTTTTGTTGCCGTTTGATTACATTCACTCTGACAGAAAATGATCGTATGTGTGTTTTAATGTCTTATAGGTTTTTTTGGCAGCATTTTTCGTCAATTGTCCATTGTCAAGTTGATACGATCCACCGAATTGTATTAGTAATACAATCCATAATGTTATTTTGTGTAATTGTAGGCTAGAGATTAGGAGGTACGCAAAGCAAGGGTATGTCTGTCAGTATTGCCGACCGGTACGCTAGTTAGTTTAACGAATCATGTATTTACGTCCCGAAGGTGCCGTGCCTACAACTCGCCCCCCAACAATACAGTGGCTCAGCTAGGGTAGAGAGGGTGGGCCGGCTGTCCGGGCGCCGACCCTAAGGGGGCGCCAAAAGGAGTAGACTAATCAAATTAACAGCTCGTTTCAAGCTGAAGTATTGAGTTATTCACAGTTAAAGTAACAAAAATAAAATACAACAAGATTTTACACACTGATGTAAAAGTTTTCTATATTAATTTTATGGCACGGAAATAGAAAAGGTTACGGAATAGTAACTGGTAAGAAGCGCTACAAACCTTTCGAACTTTAGAGGGGGAGGGATTCATATTTCACAGACAGGAATAACTATATGAAGAAATGGGATGGAGGGGGTGTTTTTCCACAGAGAGGAATAACTATATATAGAAATGTGAGGGGGGGGGGCGTTATTTACAGACAGGAATAACTATATATATATATATATATATATATATATATATATATATATATATATATATATATATATATATATATATATATATGCATGTATATATGTATAAATGGGATGAAGGGGTGAATAATCGATAGTGCGCATGGGCGCCGGGATAGTTCGCTAGGCATCTGCACCATTAGGCATTACTTTGATTTTTAACAACAAAATATCTATCAATCATCAAACGCCACTCACAAGAAAAATCTGTTATAGTTGTTTTATATTCACAAAATTTCTTACCATACTGGCACTTGAAAGCAAACCATCCCTCTAGGCAGTTATCTCTCGGGCAATCCCCGGAAGCGGAACAGTTTTGGCCACTTGCGCAGTGACACTGAAATTCGCAGTTTGCGCCGAACCATCCTTCATCACAAGCTATTTACGAAAAACATTCTAATTAGATGTTTCATGAAAAACTGTATTAAACATCACACTCTAATAATTTTTTATAGAGATGTAGCTATAAAAAAACGATATTATAAATTAGAGTTGCGAATACGTATACTAATTAGCAATATAAAGGTGTGCGCTAGTATAATAAGTTTACCTAAAATCGCAATAATAATAAAGACATACACTTAATTTTCTTAAAACTTAATTTATACAAATGAATCACAAACATTTGCTTTACCTACATTTCCCTATCATAACTTTCTTCGACTGTTAACCTTAAAATTCACTTATTCAATATGAAAAAACACACACTCACACAAAAGTACCTAACATCTTCAATCCTTCAGTACCAACCCTCTTTGCCTAAAGCCATAACGTCGATTACCAAATACGTCTAGACATTTAACTACATATATTACTGCTGTTTTCAAGAATTGTGTGGAATTAGCTTGAAAAGTCTATGTAATCATACAGATTTAAAAAAAAACTTACGTAAAGCGTTATCATTTTTAAATATTTAAGCCGTTTAATAACCATCGATTACACCCATTTTAATAATTTTCCATTGAACATAAGTCGCTGAAAAGCCTTTTAGAATTATTTTATCAATTCAAATATTTTTAAAAACCGCCCTTAACCCCTCCTTGAAATTAACCGGAACGACCAGGGCAAGTAAAACAATTGACGTTAACAATAATTGTTTTTCAAGTTAAAATACACAATAGCGTATAATAGTAGTTTATTTATATTCATCGCCGTAATATGCCATATCAACACAACACCTGACTCTACTAATGCAAATTAAAAATAAAAGGGTGAGCTAAATTACTATTATATTACTAGTAATTTTTGTTTGAATACTCCTAGCCTTAGTTAAACTGGAAATCATTTTGCTCTTCTTCCCTCAAATTTTTATAAAATATTCAATTTTTGTCGAAAAATAGGATTTCTGGCAATAACCATGTGGAATCATTTGAACCATTTTTTAAATGAGAGTACTATTTAGTTTTCGTGGACACTCACAAGCTGCTTGGGGTGAGGTGTGGGATGTTTAGCTAAAGTATAATCATAAAGTATTGCAGATGACGGGTCTATAATTTATATTTTTAGTAAACAGCAAACTAGGATGATAACTATTTGTATATTAAAATACATTTTTTAAATATTTCTTGAGGAAAGCTAGTTAATGAATTATCTTATCCATATTAATTAGTTAAAATGGTTTTGGGCACATCGATTTGCTAGCTCAATGTACGCCATCTACTCGTAACATTTTCTCAAAATCCTCTGATGTGACATTAGACATACAGGAATACATCCACAACAGTTTTAAAATAAGACATCAAAATAAGACATCAGGAATACATTAACAACAGCTGTAAAATAAGACATCAGGAATACATTAACAACAGCTGTAAAATAAGACATCAAAATAAGACATCAGGAATACATTAACAACAGCTGTAAAATAAGACATCAGGAATACATTAACAACAGCTGTAAAATAAGTCAAAACGAATACATTAACAACAGCTGTAAAATAAGACATCAGGAATACATTAACAACAGCTGTAAAATAAGACAAAACGAATACATTAACAACAGCTGTAAAATAAGACATCAGGAATACATTAACAACAGCTGTAAAATAAGACATAAAAAGAAGACATCAGAAATATATCCACAACAGCTGTAAAATAAGATATTAAAAGAAAGAAACATCATTGCTTACCAGAATCGGCATCAGCCTCGAATATCACAAGTAAACCCATCATAATGAATGTCCAGATGTTGTGTAGGAGAGACATGTCTTTCGACTAAAACATAATTAAATCACCACATTAAACTCGTTAAATATACGCTGTTTGGTATGTGCATGTTTTTAAGTTTTACTATATGTCTTTTGATTACAATATAATTATATCGCCACATTAATCTCGTAAAATATACACTGCTTGGTATGTTCATGTTTTTAAGTTTTACCATCGCACTGCTGTTTGAGTCTATTTTAGATGAACTTTTTGGATATCAAATGGGATACTGTAGAGTGACTTGGTAAAACAAACACCTTTAAACCAATGGTTTTCTAAAGATTTTGTAGGTACCAAAACCTAACAGTTTCATATGAGCATTCATCGAATCCTTTGTAAAAACCCTTATGTAACACGTTATTTGAATTCGTCCCATTTCTCGCTATATGAACATCAGGATAAAAAATCTACCTAACAACCCCATGTAGGCGTTAAAAACTGACCACGAATGACAACCTTACAATTGGCAGGTACATGAACATAGTTTCTTCCAAGCATGTCTACGTTTGTGGGTCGGGGGGGGGGGGGGGGCAGAAGGGACGAATACATGAACGAAATAGAATATGTATTGAAATACATGCTTTTACAATTGTACGCCACCCGAAAAATTTAATCCGCCCCTAGCTTCCTTGAAAGTTTAAAAACTCCCCTGTCCACCCCCCCCCCCCCCGCCAAAGATTAAAGTCTGAAAGAAATAGTGTACATGAAAGCTTTGGAAGACGTGTCAAAACCCACCAGATGGCGTATCTATCTAAAAAAATAAAACATGAAATTTTCCAGAAAAACTAATGCTAACTTCCCCTTGATCGTTAAAGGTACTTTCAATGTATATTGATAATATCTGCCCGGTGGTAAAAGCTCGAGACTTCTCGGTTAAGTAACCATGGGCAGTACTGCATCAGCCACACCGGCGCCATTTCAGGGACGAACAGGCTCTTGTTAGAATGAACTAGTCGTAAAAATGTCCTTATTTGGGGTCATTCATAAATGACGCCGTACATTGACGATTTTTACCCCCTCCCTCCCCTCCGTCACACACCGTCACAAAAAGCCAGACCCCCCCATAAAATGACGTCACACCACAGCCGGCAACCGCTCCCTCGAATTCGTAATTTTTCTTAAAGTATCGATATTTTTCCAAACTCTTCTCTAAACTCTGTCAAAATAGTATTTTAATCAATTCCTATAGCAATTTATTAAAACGGTTTTCTAAAACGCGAAATAACGTCTAAAATTCGTTTTCTAGCATTGCTTTTTAATAATGCAAAAGTGTGACGTCCAACCATCTGAACCCCCCTCCCCCCTCCCTTCTACTCATCACACACCGTCACACAATTAAGGGCCCCACCTCCCCCCTACGAGTATGACGTCATCTATGGACGACCCCTTTCAGCTAAATTGCAGCATTGCAAGCATAGGTCTTAAAGAGCTCATTTGTGTTTGTGGATTGAACTAGCAGGCCCAGAGGCGTAGCGACCCTATCCGGCGCCCGGGGACAAACTTTTCTCTGGTAACCCCCCCCCCCCCTCGCTACGCCTCTGAGCAGGCCAATTAAGAATTTTAAAATATGTTCAACCTTTACTGGCAAATGGATGTATAATACAAATGTTTATTAATTCAAGTTTTGTACCCTAGCTTTTTATTATGAATCCTTTAAGTGGAGCGAATATACAAATAGATTAAATCAATTAGCAGGTAATGTTAAATTTTGGGTTAGGCTAGAATTTTATATTTTGTATAAATCTAATCGCTTGAAGTCTTCCCGGAGTATTCCGGTGAATTGTGAAACTATACACTATTGTTTTACTGTTTTTTACATTATTTTACTACTAAACCCCTCCGGAAAAATTACCAACGCTATATCGATAGATGTAAATTACCTTATCTTGCTTTGTTAATTAAATACACAAATACATGCATGCTTTTTTGTACAATTCTGTGTAGATTCTATAGTATTAATGGTGAATTTACTTACCTCTGAGCGCTAGAGATGCTGTTCAGCTACCGTGCTTTTATGCATTTTTAAAGGTGCGCAATTGTGTTTTAATTGACCTATTGACAAAATACTACTGAAAAATCTGATTACTGATTACTACTGATAAATCTCATGTATTATATTGTTAATACATTCATTTAATCAAAATACATTTCAAATGCATTTTTACTTTCTTGTATGTACGAAGTATAAGAAAGTATTGTAATCGTGCAAAATAAAAATCGAGATTTTTACAAATCTCGATTTTTTACACCTCACTGATACGGACAAACATAAATTTGCAATCTTGTCCGTATGTCTGTGTGTCTGTCTGTCTGTGTGTTTGTGTGTCTGTGTGTAAACACGATTACTTGAGTACCGTTACAGCTAGGTTGATGAAATTTCATATATAAGTATTTTATCAAAATCGTAGATCTGTATCAACTTTTCAGCGATTTTCGATAACCGGAAGTGGTACTTTTCCTACTTTGAATTTTTCAAAAGCCTATAACTTGAGTACTATTTCAGATAAATAAATGCAATTTCACATGTAAATAAAAGATCTAATTCTCTACCTTCTTTTAAATTTTGAGCAATTTCCGTTCACCGGAAGTGGTAATTTAGGCTACTTTCGATTTTTCAAAAAAACTAATGTAAATTTTTAAAGTAATAATATTGCGCACTATTATGCACTTTTTTATTTGGCGTTCACTTGGTGTGCTTTTTTTTTGTCTACGAGATTTTATTCTATTTTAAAAACTTTAAATATTTAAAATGGATTAAAAATCATGTCTATAGCCCGAGTTCCCATCCCTTGTTATTTTATATAAGAATATTCGAGAAAGATTTGGGGAGATCACCTCCGGTTTATTTCTTCATTCACTTGCTCATTTTTACGTGTAATTACTACTATATTTGAGGTGATTTATTTTGTGCAAGCTTTACTCAACTCGCGGCTTTATACAAACTTTTATCTAACTTACCAGTTTATTGTTAGAAAGAATTTTATGTTAAGCTGTTTTAGAGGCTTAGTGAGGAACATGTGTGGTTATGAAAATTATTTTGTGTCCAGCATTCCTAGTATCAACACGAGGACTTATAAATACACGATCAAATCTGTGACATTAAGCTCAAAAGTAGAGTAGGCCTATACAGTCTCCGGGCATGAGTTTGTTAAGTGAGGGGGCAGGTGGGCTTTAGTACTTTCACGTTTCAAATAGTGGTCAAATCAGTAACGCTCATGGTTGATAAACTGAAAAGTTCCGAGTTCGAAACCCGTGGCAGAATGGACTCGACAGCTGGTGCAGGCAACACATCTAGGGGAGACAACTCGACAACAGGGGCATTAACTCATCTAAGGGAGACAACTCAACAACAGGGACAGCAACACATCTAAGGAAGAGAACCCAACAGCTGGGACAGGCAACACATCTAAGGGAGACAACTCAACAATAGGGACAGGCAACACATCTAGCGGAGACAACTCGACAGCTGGGAAAAGGCAACACATCTAAGGGAGACAACTCGATAGCTGGGACAGCAATAACATCTAGGGGGGACAACTCGAAAGTAGATACAGCAACACATCTAGGGGAGACAACTCGATAGCTGGGACAGCAATACATCTAGGGGGGACAACTCGAAAGTAGATACAGCAACACATCTAGGGGAGACAACTCGATAGCTGGGACAGCAATACATCTAGGGGGGACAACTCGACAACTGGAAAAGCAAAACATCTTGGAGAAACTACTCGACAGTTGGGACAGCAACACATCTAGGGTCGACAACTTGCCAGCTGGGGACATTAACACATCTAGAGGAGACAATGAGGCGGCTGGGACAGGCAACACATCAATGAGTGAACACTCCAAAATCAATCAACTGCTGCCTTGTATTTTGTTCTTGGGTGGACACTGAAAGAAAATCAGCCTGATATCAGAGTCCACGGGCCATATACTTTACGTGACATATATTGACATGTATTACTTAATTGTATGAACTGCTTACAATAAATGGATTACATCATAAAACATTTAAAATAGCATCTTTGATGCTGTGTGGAAGGACAGCTTTAGAAGATGTAGGGTTCATCTGTTTCTATGATCTCGTCTAACCAGGGGATAGTGGGGTCAGCTCTTTGCCCAGGGACACATAATCTCAAGGACAAAAGATTTCATTAACAAAAGATACCAAGACAATTTATACCGTGGACAAATGACAACAAAGTATCTTTGACCAAATATTTATATCATTTAGGAAGATTTTAGTTGATTTTAACATTTATTAAAATTTATGGCTTTTTTGTACACATAATAATTGTAAAAAAAAGGTTTGTCCAATTACATTGGACATGTTAAAATTGCAATTAGATATATAATATTTGTAGATTAAAACTAAGGTTTGATATACAGCTTTGGTGGGCTTGCCGATCATAAAACAACACTTTGACATAAGTTGGAGGAAACTAGATCAAAAGGGATCACCCATCTACTTATGAAAGGGCTATAAACTAGCAGCAAGCTAGCCGCTTGCTTTGTTGTTGGAGAGACCCCTGGGTATAATACATCCGCTCTCCGTGGACAAAACAACTGTCCCCTTAGTCAATTGTTACATTTCGGTCACCTATAATTGGTTACCTGAAAAATGCCACTGTGGTCATTGCAGAGTAAAGTTATTCGTAGTGTGCATACAAACAAAGCACTATTAGTATCCTTAGATAGTAGAAAGGCATGCACTTATGCGAAGTCTGATTTACGCTAGACAAATGCCAGCAAAGAAACGTTAACCAATGGTTTTACGTTACGAATCTGAAGTCCTTATCACCTTTTTGAAAAAAAAAATTCACGTGTTTTAAACATTAATGTTGTTAAGGCTTTCATGATTTTTTAAAATGCATTTTCACGTCCTATACGTTTTATATAAAATGCTATTTTAAAAAAAAATTAAGTTAGTCTTTAGATGATTTTTAAAAGTTTAACCGATTCATTTAGTATATCACACAATTGTAATGAGTAAGAAA